TCCATTGCCAGAGGCAGAATTGAACGACAATGGGCCCCAGACGAAGCCAGTCACCAGCGTGTGAGCCCGAAAGGCACTGGGATCCTGAACTGCAGCATCGCATGGCTTGTAGGATTTTTTCAACCGGCTATGGCTGTTGCTCAAAACTGATGCTAGATACACACGACTGCTGTTTTAAAAAATCTTTCACTTTGCCAACGCGATGCGCGGCTAGCTGCCTCACACTGGAGCTTTGTAGTTCTTTGCCACCAAGCCCTTTTGACCTCTCCCCAGCGGAGTTCAGGGCTCACCCTTCCAAACGAGGAGTATTCCGGACCCCCCCCACACCCCCCAGATTAGCTTCGCCATATACAGATCCTCCAGCCTAAGCCTTCGGCTGGCTTTCGTAATAAAAAAAGATGTGAACATCCTGCAAATTTTGCGTGAATGTTGTGGCCCAGGCCCTTCACATTCTCACAGACCGGCCCGGGGCAGGCCTACATAGATGTATGGGGTCAAACCCTTAACGATTACGCTGCGCCTGGTTTCAAGTCATGCCAAGTTGAGAAACAGACTATGTTGTAGTTGTCAAGGGTAAAGCCCTTGACGTTCTCACAGACCGGCCCCGGGCAGGCCAACATAGATGCATGGGGTAGAGCCCGCTGCGTTTGTAATATAAAAAACTGACATTTGAAATCTTTTTTATCATTTCAACCACAAACATTGACATGGGCACGTGCTTCAGCCTGCATTACTTAGCAGTGTGGTTTACTTGTTGCGCCACTAATAATTGATGATGGGTAGTTGGAGTGAGGCTTCACATCTCCAATACTGACCAAAGCACGACAAGTTTCAGTTTGGTGTGACAATGACATTGGAAGTGACTATGACAATGACAGTGACAATGACCAATGACTCTGTTAAACATGACAGTGACAGAATGAGAACCGATAGGAACAAATTGTGAATTTTAGTGAATGTCAATGTGACTGTAACAATTGGCAATAACACATCATGACAATGACAGTGACAATGACAAGGGAACGTTAGCAACATGTTTCTGTGTGACTCTGACACGCAAGTAATGACAACAATTCACAGAAAATGGAACGTGACCAAGTCAAACCTGCAAAGCTGTGAGATCCGCATGTTTCCATCGCATCTTCAAATGAGTTGTGATTCCACAACTTGCCCCGTTCGTACAGGCAAGCGCTTTGCTTACTTGTACAACCCCTAATGCTGACTGGCCTCTCAAACGCACCTTCCATGGCCAATGGCCCTCATGAAAAATCATCCCACCTAGGACCCAATGCTGGGAAATGCCCGATTGACTCTCATTGACTAGGCCAATAATAACTAATATACAATTCAGTTCAAGTTTCAGTTCAATAGTATCATGACTGAGGATCCTACAGGGTACATCGGAAGATAAAGTTTAGGAAGTCGATGACATACCCAAGGTGCTTCTTCTCAACATGCTCCTCCTTCAGCTTCTTGAGCTGCTCCTTGCCCACCACGCACCAAGAATTCTTCTTGGTCCTCAGTCATTGCTGCCGGTGCAAAAGAGATGGCTGATTGAACTGCTTGGTTGAATCATTGTTCGTTGGTCATGGTAGAACTTAACTTAGGCAGTGACAATTTTTTCCTGGCACCATGGAACACCATGCCGACAGCACCCGATCTTGCAGCGTCTGCTTGAACACAATTAGCGATGGTTTCGACCAACGTCTTCTGACGCAGGCTCTTGTGGATCACCAACTCTTGTTTCAACGTCAATGCAGACTTCAGGCAAAGTACTGGCCGGATCACCAGCTTATGCTTCACACAGTGGTCCAGCCACTCAATGCCTGCCACAAATTCGCCATACATACGAGTGCCAAGGATGTAATCATCCTGGTCTGCCTTGTTGTCCAAGTGAGTCATCTGGTCAAGACTTTCCGGGGTGGAATCAAACCAAATGACGTGCTTGACTGAAGAGACTTCTTGCAAAAATGATCCATCATTGGGCGTCCAGGCCACCACTTTCAACTTGAGGGATTCAAAGGCATTGCGACGTCCACCTGAAAGGCGCACTCCAGGTCGCAAAACGACCAGGCACAATGCCTCTACCAACAACAGGCCTCGCTCCAAGTTTATTGCAAGGTCACGCCTCTCCAATGTCGGTTTGTTCCGGATCTTCTCCTCAGCAGCCTTCAGCTTTTGTTTTGCTTCAGGATCTGATTTCTCTCCAAACGACTGCAAGACCTTTCTCTTCTTGCTTGCTATGTTTTCCAAAGCTGCTGCGTAGGATTCATACTCCTGGCGCTTCTTCCCATTGCTGCAAGCAGCTTCCTTCACAGCGGACAATGATGACGCTGTGTTTGAATCCAAGGATTGCGGTGATTCTGACTTGCTGCTGTCAGATCTTTGGATCTGGCCCTCTCGCTCTCGAAGGAAGGCTGCCATGCCTGTTTTGCGACCCTTGCGTAAGCCTTGCTCACGTCTTGGCAACCGATCATCCTGTTCGGCAGGCACCTTCCTGGCCCTGGCCGTGCCATATTCTTTGCGATAGACCTTTTGCACCTGAACCACAAACTGAGTCATCTCATAAGTTGGAATACCCTCTGTTTTCTTGAAAGGAATCTCTTCTGGCAAAGGACCGTCGAGGAGAGTTTTGGTGAGAGCCTTCAAAAGGCTTGAGCTTGTGGAAGACTTCTGGCCTTTGGACTGCATTCTGAAATAACTAAAATCTGATTCCAACTCTGAAGTGGACTCCCAAATGCTGTGGAGCAAGCTCACCTGGCAGCACATGCAGGAAACCATACTCACGTGTCAGTTCACGTGTCATATTATGAGTCTTGTCATTCTTGTCATGATATAATCCGAGCGATAACCCGCATGGCCCTTCAAATCCAAGGCACTGCTGACTCAAGAGCAGGAAGACGCCCTGACCAATGTTGCAAGGATCGTGCCCAATAGACTTCTGGGTCAACGTTCCCCCTCCTGAGTGAATCTGGAATGCACCCTGGTCGTGGTCCTGGTTCTTGCCTTGCTAAGAATGCTAAGTTAAGACAAGGCTCTTGATTAGCTCTTTGCATGTTGGTCGACAAATGACGAGCTCGTCTGCTAACTTCTTGGCCTCGGCAGCAACAAAATAGACAACTATCTTGAATGGCCATGAATCAAACCTATAAGCTGTTACGTTTGGTCCCAGGCCTCCACGTGGAGGACATCGGCAACGGGCTTCAAAGCGTCTGGCCTTCGCAAAAAGCTGATGAACAGGACCAGCCTTTCGAGTGATTCGAATCATCAAATTATATCAATCAATTAATGACAATGACAAATTTCAAGGAATGATGGCTCAAAAATGACAAACACAAGCTTCCCAAGACTCGTGCAATACGGAATCGCTGCCATTCCATCCATCCACATCGAATGGGGCAAAGGATTCGCCAAGGACATTGTGCTCAGCCTCCAAGCCTTTCATGAAGAGCGTGGTCACACAACTGATTTCCCCCAGCATTGCTGAGATCCGGGAGTTGATGTCCACACCATGGCCTGAAGCAGGTTCAAAGTCTAAGTTGAAGTCAGACTGAACACCTCGGTAGCCTCTCAGTGAGCCTCCCAGTCAGTCTGTGAAAAACAACATCAATGTCAATAACCATTATTTCAGCATTGCATCCCAGCTGCGTCGCAATTCATACAGCAAGCGGCCATTGTGCACAACTGCAAAGGATTTGCCCTTTGTCTCCGTGCCTTGGATGTGTCCAAACACGGATAGAATTTGATTGACGTGCTGATCTAACAAACAAAGCAGAGGTCAGTCAGTCAGTCAGTCAGTAACAAGGTGCCTGGAGTCATTTCCAACTGCTTCAGCATGATCTGACAGAAACCTTTGGAAAATCTTGGATCCATAACCAGGGGGACCTTGTTCTCTGGCCCAAAGTCAAAAAGCTGCTTCAATCTGGCGTGGATGATTGAAATCCTCTCGGACGTTGATACAATTCGCCGCGCAATATTCTGACTCTGGCCACCTGACTTGTTCTGGCCTGAACTTCCACGTGTGCCACCGCGGTTGTCCCATCCGTGTACGTAGGATTCTGTTGCCGACAGGAATTCAGTAATAAGACCTAGCAGCAAAATGTTGTCGATAGTGAAGACCTGCCAGGAACCAACAATACCAAATACTGCATAATAACCGGCATTTGAAAAGACAGGCAAACACAGACCGGCCTTCAACATATCCAAGGCCCAATCGGACCCAGACTCCTTTTCACCTGCGGCCACAGCACAAAGCATTCGCAAGATTGGGCTGATGTTCATGCAAATAATTCTGCAGGCTGTCAGCATTGAGTCCCAGCGATGGGCAGCATAGTTAGTGGAATTGCCGGTCAGCTTTCCTGTGATGGATACAAGCTGCTGCATTTCCTCCAGCTGTGATTTTCGAAAAAGAGCTGACATCTTCCCCCACTTCAAGGCACGCGCAAGAGAACCTGGACTGCTGTCACTGCTGCTCATTGTGACAACCTTCTCCAGCAACTGCTGCACAGTTGTGACCTTCGTCATGGAATTCTCAAGGACCTTCTGCCCCCCATGGGCCATGCAGCGAAACGTCATTCGCAGCATTGGCACAATCTTTGACTCCTGGCTTTGAATCATTCAAAAATTCCATGTGAATCCTGAATCCCAATGTCCCACAACTCTAACTTAAGCAACAATTTAGCGGAACCATAATCAGAAGTCAAGATTCTCTGGCCAGCCGAGGGCAAAGTTGCTCAGCAGGCTCCCCGTCAGCACTGAATACCTTACCAACAGACTTTGACTCACTGTGCAGCTGATTGAACTTTATCATTGTTGTTATTGTTATTCATTCAAATTAAGTGGCGCACCTGGATCAACTTCCGAAGGTTTTTCACCCTTTCGGAGTTAGAATTGCACCAGTCTACCATAGTTTCTTCCATCTGCTGCATCTTGAAATAAGCGGTCTGATCATGCAAGTTGGGAAGTGAACACGTTGCCACTAATAATAGAATCAGAGGCGAGTTCCCAATGCAACGCAAACTAGTGACTTTTTGTGACGCTAAATGATGGGCCTTGTCGCCATTGATATGTCTCAGGTCTATGAACTTGCGGTGGACTGTATAGTCGTCCAGAACAATCTTCCATTTGACCAGATTGTAGTCTCCACACACGTCCTGCGGAAAGGCGTTACAATGGACCAGTCACAGTCAGAGACACAATAACTGCTCAGAATGCGTGCATGACTACTACTACAGACTTAGACTACACAAAGACTGCGCAATGCTGCCAACGTCGGCCAACGTAACACGACCTCGGCCCAACCAATGGACTTGATCTTGCCCTTGTCCAGCCACTCGGAATCATAAAAATACCTGAGTCGGTCAATCCAATTTCAACATATCGCAACTAGCTGCTACACAATGACAGCAATGACAGTGACAGTGTTAAACCTTATAGACTTACTGTTTAGTTTTATTAAGGTCAAAGTCTAGCGGGTGTTACCAAGCTGCAAGACTGTTGCAATGCTTTTGACAATCCTGGAGTGAGTATCTCTGGTGTTGAAGGATTCCGGAAAGTTCCTCTGGTCAGATCTGGCTGCCAACATAGCCTTGCGTTCGTATTCCAATGACTGTGCTCCCAGCGGTGTTCGGGCAACCTCAATGGAAAGCCTAATCTGCGCAGCTGTTGGAACAAGGGAATTCTGTGGCCAATGTCCACCATCACCTGGAACTGCTGGCCCTGGTCCTTGTCCTTGACTTCTCATTAAAGCTTGATGCAAAGCAGTTTTGGCATGTCTCTTGAGGTCTTCTATCTGTAGGACATTTGCTGGCGAAGAGCCGACGGTGTACTCTGTCCAGGACGTACCCTTCTTTTGGGAACTCTCCGCACTGGCACAAACCTTGCACCCAAGCGAGGTCTGTTCTTCATCCACTTGCACCGATTGCAATTCTTCACAGCTGATTTTCCACAGCCGTGTCTTGCAATACACGAGGCAGCATGAGCATCTTCAGATGCGTAGGTGCGCATGTTGGAAAGGAATTGGAAACTTTACACATCTGTCATCTGTTTGTCTGTCTGTCTGTCTGTCCGTCTGTCTGTCTATCTGTTTAGTTTGCCTGCTACAAGTCTGTCTGTTCTGACACATGACATTGACAAAATGACATTGAAACTTGATGAACCACGTCAGCTTTAAAGTCACACACGTTGACGAATGTTGACGACACTGAATGACGCTGACAAGTGTGCAAAACCACTTTGCATGCTTATTATTTACTTCGCTGCACAAATTAGGCTTTCCACTGAGGTTCCTGGCATTTTAAGTCCTTCGCACAGCCTGCAGTGTCAAGTCAAGGAGCTGCAATCAAGAACAACTCCTTCACATCGAATTTCTGGCCCGCTCAATCAAGCAGCCTGCTGATATCAGTCCAATCCTGCCAGCGGACAATATTCATTAAAACGCTTGCCAAAGTGGCCCATCCTCCTGAATCTGACTAACTAAGACTGACAATGTCTGACTGATTTCAACCAAATGATCCAGCAAAAACCCAGCCTTGCCCTGACATGTCTTCCAATAGTCAGGCGGTTGAGACGCGACAAGGTTGGCAGAAAACAACAGGTTCCGCAGCAATCGTTCCAGCACGCAGCATGACACACTATTTCCAAGCGCATGACCCACAGTAGAGCTTGGAGATGATTCTATAAACCTATGAGCCAAAGATCGTGGCACTCCTCCGGCCCAAGGCAATTGACGCGGGCAAAAACGCTTTGTCATTTTACAACAATCTGAGTAACAATCTGACTTTGGCTCTGACACCCCGCCAGGAGTTCCACAATTGTCAGCTTCTGCTTTCTCCAGGGACAATACCAGGCTTGACTCTTGCCACGGCTTGATGTAAGACAGGGACTTGCTTCCCAAGCGACTCTTTGATGACCGTGGCCAGCACCAGTATCAACAATTGTCGGGAAAGTTCGAACACGGTCCTCACCATAGACAGAGATCGCCTCAACAATCGACATGGCATGAAATGAGCCGGGTTGCTTGCGCAAACATACTTTCAAGAGTACTTTCAAGTGCAACCCTAAGCCCAGCCACAGATGCAAGATTACTCTTGAAGGTATCGCAAACTTCAGATTCATTGACGATTGCCTCTCCTGCCACTGGATCATGCTCGAGAAAATGATGAAGTGATGCCTGCAGGACGATCAGAGCAGAATCAAAGACAAAGAACTTAACACATGTCTGTATCAGTCGTATTCAATTCTTTACTTTAAATCTTCTAA